ATAACATTTTCACCTGTAAGCATAACAACTTTTTTCACTCTTGAAACCTGGTAAATAAACCAACTGAAAACAGTTATGGGTCATTTTCAGCACCATTGAATAGTACATTCTCCATATTGCATCAGGATATAAAAATATACAGATAGTGTTTTGTCTCCTTCAAAACATTCTTTCCGTGTTGTTCAATGGCATGAAACAAGAGAGGAAGAAAATACCTCATACCAATGATGAGGACTGTTGCCTTCATATTATTAATCCTTAGCAGATCCACACTGCACTGTCCATTCATCCATTCACAGCACTTTTAAAACATCAGTAGCAGCCACACGTGGGATAAACAAATTAAATAAAACACAAGTTAGAGTCCTCTGAAATGTAACGCTCACAGTGCCATTGGCTTCCCAACCACTTTTAAAGTGTGAAGAAGATGCTAACAGAGACGTGGGAGTGTTGTAGTGCGGTGGAAGGGCAAACCATGAAAACCAAGCAGGCTGGTGGGCTGTAAGCTCCTCGTAACCATGATCACTTCTCCCAGCACAGTTTATCCACAGTCAACACTGGTGGTGATCACCATATGATGCTCGTGGTGCTGGGGTAATAACCCCCCACCCCACCCCAAAAAACAACTAATTCAAAGGAGAAAAAGACAAAAAAAAATGCAACAAGTCAGTTTTAATGGTTTGAGGCAACCAAGATCAAGAGCAGAAGAAAGAGAAGCAAAGGCGCAGTCAGGGTGAGAGTGCGGTTTACAGTGCATAGAGAGGGAGATGAATTCACCAGCTGGTCGGTCAGAGGGGATTATTGCCCTGTGTCTGCCTTGCACACACACATGCAGATTAAACACACACCTCCACCCAGAATGAGCAAGACACAAGAGTAAAGACAGAAAAAGAAAGAAAGCAGAGCTGGTGGATCAGGTTCCTGTGGTTTCCAGAGTGCTCCTCTCTCTAGCATCCTCCAAGGCGGTGGGGGTGTGTGCCTTCAGGTGTGTGTGTGAGATATATGTCCAAATACAAGTCCAAAATAGGCCTGGCTCCACCTACACTCTCATTTTTCATCCATCCAGTCCAGCAGTCAGAGTGGTGCTGCTGCCCACCGTCCTCCAGGACGCTTCACATCCGTGAGGAGGACGCCAACTCGTAGAACAAAACGTAGGCGTCACTGCTGCGGACTTGGCTGGAGGACATTGGCGTTACTCTGGAGGGGGGGTGCATGATGAGGAAAACAGAAGAATTATGGTGTAGACAAAGCAGCCCATAATTTAAGACCAACAGAGGCCTCCTGGTGTTTATTAAGAGAATATCCAGTTTGCATGCCAGTGGTAGTACACAAATATATTTTTATAGTCACAGGTTTGCAACACATCATTCTCCTGCTGTTATTACTGTTTCTATTCAGAGTTTTCATGGTTTTTGTGATATACTGTAAACAGCAGCTGTAAAGTCCCATTTACATACATAATAATTCTGTGTATATGTACTCATCAAATATATCACCACATTAGAGCAGTTAACAGTATATGAAAAGCAAATGTTTTGCATTTACAGGAAGTGCGACTTTAGACTATCACTACTAATCTAACTAAAAGCTAAATGAGCTTTCATTTTTCTCATCACCCATTTTAAAAAAATTCTATCCAGCTATGAGCAGCTCCTCCATTTCCTTTGTGCACTGTAGTGTGAAGAAACGCTTGTCCATCATCACCAGAAATGAACCATATTTAATAATGATTCATGTTCATTTACGTTACAAAGCTCTACTCGCCATGTGACTGCTAATGAGTGTAGTGAGGCAGCCGATCCTGTTCTGCTTTTTGTACAGTAGTTTACTGTATATTTTTATCATGATGTAAACAATGTTCAAACATACCTGGAGTCATTAAAGGTGTACCATTCTCCCGAGTTGGGATTGCGACAGTAGGCTGTGTAGTGACCACCCATAGTGGTGCCTGAGTGGTTGGACACTGCATACAGGTTGTACACTGCATTTACTACAACAAGACAAACAAAACAAGTGCCATAGTTATTATTAGTCCTTTTATACAACCTATTAGAATCTCAAGTGCTAATATTTTGAAATGCAACACAATTTTTCAGGTTTTAGATGGAGTGACACTACATTTTCACTGAAATCAACGCTTTTCTTCCATATCTGAAGCTTTGGAAGACTTCCAACTCATAAAACAGATCATAATCATGTTACCTTTATCTTAGAATCAGTACTTACTGCTGTTTTCTGAGGCAAACTCCCGCAGGTCAAGATCCTTCATAGGGAAGTTAACAAAGGTGGACAGTTTGCTGGTTCTTCGTGCCTCAGAGAAGCGTTTCAGGTCTGACAGGAGAGGGAGTCAAGGAACAACTGACCTACAGCTGATTTTAATCTACTGAACTTCAAATACACGAGTTTCCTGCCAGAGCAGTCTTTTAACAATCATGGGGTTGACATCTTTCTAATTCAACACAAAATAATACAAAATACTGATGCTCTGGTGCAATGGCGCCAGCAGATGTTATCCTGTACGCACATATAGTGTTTTTAATTATTCTGCTAAATTTTTACATCTGGTGGTCATTACACGTTCAACATGTAGTAAATATATAGAAATACAGTTTCAAAGTATGGAGTGAGTGGCAGCAGCGCACGCACTGACTTCACCTGCTGTCAGCAATGCCTACAGCATCGTCAAGATGTGCAAGGTATTTCTCATTTAACATGTCTCATGAGCTGCAATCATCGTTTGTTATTTTGTGGGTTAATTATTGTGCCTGGATTAAAGTGTCAGAACAGTGATTCACTAGGACCAGCTGGTGCGTACCTCCTAAGCATAATGCTGGTCAATGTGTAGAGAGAGACTGCCAAACTGAATAAAACATAATCCTGCCACTGCTCCGGTCAGCCTCACAGCAACTCTTGAATTTCAGTCAACTACGATATACTACAGTAGAGCTATAATCCACACCCTATCCCTTTGACACAGACAATATCAGGCTCTCCCAGCTGCAAGCGCATAATAAAATACATCAGTATTAGACGCTAATGGCCAGTGGAGAGGATACGAAGCACCAAGATCTTGGGGAACTTCTGTATTGTGAACTTCTTAGTGCATCTTCTCCGAGCTTTACACCTGTAGCACGTCTAGAGAGAGGAAGTACAGAGTTTATTCAATCACGTTTTACAAGGAGCTAGTTTCAACCCAGCAAAAGTGCACATGCCTAAATCTACTGACATTACTTTTAAGTAATCGTAGCTATGATTTGCCAGACTTGGCACTCTTTAAAACAGGATACCTACCGGTTTCTCGTCCCCATCAAGGACATCTTCTTTGGTGAAGAGCCGCATGCAGTCCATGAGGCTCACCTCACCATAGCCCTTCTGAGCACAAGCATAGATGCATTCACATTAGCATGCACATAAGCAACCACACAACAAACATACAAATGCAATGCAAAACAAAGCACAAAAAGAGACAGGGAGGAAACCAGGAAGCTCATGTTAAAAGCTGTAGGCAGATATTTATTAACACAGAGAAATAAAGTCTAAGTTCATCATCATGAGGGAATATTTCCTCTGCATGACTGACTGTGCTAACACCTGTACAGATGACTGATATCCACCAGTCTATGTTACATCTGTGTGTGCATGTTTGTTTTCTAACCTTGGCGATAGGTAGAGAGAGATCCCAGAAGGGGTCGAAGACAGTGGAGCAGAAGCCACAGTGGCTGCAGGTCAGAGAGCTCTTCAGCTGCCCAACAAACAGGTCTGGAAGAGTAGAAAACATGACATACAAATAAACACGACAAATCACAGCACAACTGACATGCTAGAAGATAAATCAAGAAAGTATATCTGCTGTACACTGTTCTGCGTTTCTCCAGGTTGACCATCTGAAGCTTGTTCTACTCACCAACGATCTTACTGTCTTCTCTCTCCAGGTATTTACTCCACATCTTCTTCCCTTTCTCTTCATCCCTGAACATGGAGCACAGATAAAACATTTAATTCTAGTTATAAAACAGTAAACAGTGGATTGAGAAGATGATCAGTAGAGCACAGTTAAAGTGTATTCACACATACAGGTGAGTCTGTAGTTCACGAGGTGTGCTATGTGAAGCTCGTGATTTACATATCAGACTACATGCCGCTACGTATGTCACTGATTTGTTTCCACGTGTCCTTATTTAAAGACACATCAGAGAACTGGGAAGCTGGAGACCACAGTGACAAGACTTCCCCTCCATTCTATTTAAAATTCCTTCACATAGTGGAGTGAAGTAGTGGTTCAGTTTCTGCTGGAATCAAGATCACCGTGGCTCTCCCTTGGCTGTTGCTCGCACTGTGTCACAGGCTATTTACATAAAGCTGACCATTCCTTGACCTTATGCAAATACCACTGTAGTGTAGTATCTGGGCACTTTTTTCAGTCTGTCAAGGGGCACAGCGCTGCAAAGCCAGTTGTCATTGTCATTGTCAATGATGGGCCTTTGCTTTTGAACCCGTACATGTGAACGCACCATAAAGAGGTTGATAATGTAATTAATGATGGACCTTGTCTACTTTACTGTAAAGATCTAGGAGACAGAATATGGTATTAGAGGGTTAAAAAGACACAAGCACACTTCCAAGCTGGAAGTAAATGTACAGTGGTGTGAAAAAGTGTTTGCCCCCTTACTGATTTCTTATCTTTTTGCATGTTTGTCACACTGTAATGTTTCAGATCGTCAAACAAATTTATATATTAGTCAAAGATAGCACAAGTAAACACATCATGCAGTTTTTAAATGAAGGTTTTTATTATTAAGGGAAAACAAAATCCAAAACTACAAAGCCCTGTGTGAATAAGTGTTTGCCCCCTAAACCTAATAACTGGTTGGGCCACCCTTAGCAGCAACAACTGCAATCAAGCGTTTTCGATAACTTGCCATGAGTTTTTTACAGCGCTGTGGAGGAATTTTGGCCCACTCATCTTTGCAGAATTGTTGTAAGTCAGCCACATTGGAGGGTTTTCGGGCATGAACTGCCTTTTTAAGGTCATGCCACAGCATCTCAATTGGATTCAGGTCATGACGTTGACTAGGCCACTCCAGTCTTCATTTTGTTTTTCTTCAGCCATTCAGAAGTGGACTTGCTGGTGTGCTTTGGATCATTGTCCTGCTGCAGAACCCAAGTTCGCTTCAGCTTGAGGTCACAAACGGATGGCCGGACATTCTCCTTCAGGATATTTTGGTACACAGCAGAATTCATGGTTCCACTTATCACAGCATGTCTTCCAGGGCCGGAAGCAGCAAAACAGCCCCAGACCATCACACTACCACCACCATATTTTACTGTTGGTATGATGTTCTTTTTCTGAAATGCGGTGTTACTTTTACGCCACACATAATGGGACACACACCTTCCAAAAAGTTCAACTTTTGTCTCGTCTGTCCACAGAGTATTATCCCAAAAGTCTTGGGGATCATCAAGATGTTTTCTGGCAAAACTGAGACGAGCCTTTATGTTCTTTTTGCTCAGCAGTGGTTTTCGTCTTGGAACTCTGCCATGCAAACCATTTTTGCCCAGTCTCTTTCTTATGGTGGAGTCATGAACACTCACCTTAACTGAGGCAAGTGAGGCCTGCAGTTCTTTGGATGTTGTTGTGGGGTCTTTTGTGACCTCTTGGATGAGTTGTCGCTGCGCTCTTGGGGTAATTTTGGTCGGCCGGCCACTCCTGGGAAGGTTCTCCACTGTTCCATGTTTTCGCCATTTGTGGATAATGGCTCTCACTGTGGTTCGCTGCAGTCCCAAAGCTTTAGAAATGGCTTTATAACCTTTTCCAAACTGATAGAGCTCAATTATTCTCTTTCTCATTTGGTTTTGAATTTCTTTGGATCTCGGCATGATGTCTAGCTTTTGAGGATCTTTTGGTCTACTTCACTTTGTCAGGCAGGTCCTATTTAAGTGATTTCTTGATTGCGAACAGGTGTGGCAGTAATCAGGCCTGGGTGTGGCTAGAGAAATTGAACTCAGGTGCGATAAACCAGTGTTTTGACAGGGGGGCAAACACTTGTTCACACAGGGCTATATAGTTTTGGATTTTGTTTTCCCTTAATAATAAAAACCTTCATTTAAAAACTGCATGATGTGTTTACTTGTGTTATCTTTGACTAATATATAAATTTGTTTGACGATCTGAAACATTACAGTGTGACAAACATGCAAAAAGATAAGAAATCAGTAAGGGGGCAAACACTTTTTCACACCACTGTACATAGTTTTTAAGCATTTATGCAGACTGGACCTGTTTTGATACGCTGAATGGTGAAATTTTCCGAGATTAAATCTCACCCTTCTCACACGCTTCTGTTAGATAACTGACAATCATATCCATGAAGAACCGGAGCATTGAGCTGGTCTAGGCCCCAAAGATGCAACAACTTGGCAGAGGAGGTGAAACTGTGGCAAGCAGCCTTTAATTCAACCTTAATGATGAAGCCTTAATGATTCACATTGCCTCAGTCTAGGCCCTGTTCACATTGTGTAAAATTCCCCACTATATCCAGTCTAGCACAAACAACGACTTCTGTTTAGGATACACTTTTCAAAACATCTGCTGATCCTGGCCACTGTCATTGCAGGTACACACACTGTCAGGCAGGTTACTCACGGAAGATGGTCCAAATCCTCCCCAGTGCCTCTCGGCCGGACGGTGACCCTGTTGACCTCATTGTGCAGGCCGTCCAGGAGGAAACGCAGGAACTCCTGAGCATCCTGCTGGCTGCAAGACACACAGGCTGTCAGAACTAGAAACATCAGCCACCATATCTGTTTTCTGATTTATTTCTGATGTTATACTCATATTATTCTCAGACAAAAGCTAAAAATCAGTGTTCCTAAAACAATGTGTGACAGCTTACTTGTATCCCACAAATCTGGGAGCATATCTTTGGATCTGAGTTTTGAATTCAGATGGGCTGACTGCTTCACTGCTGGACGACGTCCACATGGTCTGTATCAGCTTGGCAAATTCTACCAACACAGAAACACTCAAGTTACTCATGCTGCGACATAAAATGCACTTTGCTAATGTAACTATGTATTCAGGCTGATGATGAACTGAAGGTGCAGCTCATTTTTCTCTCCTATGTCAGATATTGACCATTTTCATGCAATTGCAAACACAAAGAGCAAAAAAACAGAAGAAAGAATTTGTTTCCCTGTTTTCAGCATGTTCTGAGAGATGCAAATTTAATCTAGAAGTTAAGGGGGTATGAGTGTTCCTCGTGAGCAGCTGTGAGGAGTGTTTGGTTTTGACTCTAGGGGGCCTGTGTGACACATCTCTCACCTTCCATGAGGGCTGTGTTAGTGCGGCTGTTGTTGTTAAGGTCTCTGCGGTGCGAGTTGTGCAGGCAGTAATCTCGCAGGCTGTGCGTGTTGCTGAGACACTGCAGGATACTGTTCATGAAACACTACAAGGAAAAACATGAACACAAACAGTTTCATTCCCTCAGAGATGAAATAACATCAAGTGCAATTCTTCCTCGTTCATTGATGACTCCCATTTGCTGGAAAAGAAGCAAAAACTGCCTTTATATTTAACTGCTTGTAAATGATTATTTATGCAGGACTATATTTCTTTCTATACAATCAAATAGTTGTCTTTTGCTGTGCATTATTTAAAGTTGATAACATGTACTAGTCTCCTTACAATCTAGATAACATTTGTAACATAGCTCACTTGTTGCCTTGCTGATTTGTATGCTCTCCATCCTGAAGCTGAACCTAGCAACTGATCAACAGCGTCAGCCATTTAACTCCACCTCAGGATGGGTGTTTTTGGAATGATATACATCAACTCCACATTGGGATTTTGGTCTATTTCATCACATTTTGTAGGTCAAAGGATCCAGACCAATCAGCAGACTACATTTCCTCCAGTTTTAACAATTGTGATCTGCAGGCGTGTATAGCTTTAGCTCTTACACTTACAGGCTATAGATTATATACATTATACTACTCTAAACATTTGATCATATATTCATGATTACAACATTTTTCATAACTGTGATGTAATTAAAAATATGCTTTGTAGATCTATAAGTGATATATTAAATGTTTAAAGGCTTCCAAAACACAGTGAAAGAACTAGAATAATGACTAAGTATAAGGAGGCATCACACACACACATACAGTACACTGTACTATCTGTGTATACGGTGCTCTCATCACGTGTCTACATGAGACATGTGCATCAAGATAAAGAATGAGTGCTGCCTGGTCTATAGTTCAGTGCTCTGATTAGGTGACTGTACACACAGAGTGACAGCAACACACTGTTTATTTTAGGAGGCGTCCATCTGCCTGTTGCCTGGCAGACACTCTGCTCGACAACCACTCTTGTGTGGACAGTTACCAACAGACTTGGTCTAACACTAACTGGGTTTAGGGAATTTGCCCCCTCACTGGTAAGAACAAAATGTCACTAATGCAAAACATTTGGCTCTACACAGATGTAATTACATGCAGATGTACTTACAGTGTTTCCTAGGTTCTTCAGTCCCACCAGGCCTTGGGCACTCTTTGAATTCTGGAAGACAAAGGACACAACATTTAGATTGTATGGCCTTTTTTACACAAAAGCCAATTATTATTTAAAATAAATTCCCCCCAAAATAAAGAAAAATGATTAAGTGTTTTTAATTCCAGGACCCATCAGACAAGGCCATTTTGTGTCCTATATTTTAATATAGTGTTGCATTATGATGTTGACTGTTTTTAACTTTTATCTCCTTTCGTCTTAATCCTGTGTTTATTAAATATATTACAAGGATGATAAGACTTTCAGGGATGAGTAAAGTCTATTTAAACCAGACTGAAATACATTTTTGAAGTGTTCTTTTTCTCATTCCCTTACTTCTACTTCTACTTCTGTTGTAGTTGTTGATTGCCTACATTTCCCAGAATACCTCTGGATTACTCCTATTCAGCTGTGACTGGAGTATGTACTTTGGGGGGTGTAAGAGGGACCACATAACGCCAGTACTGGCATCTCTCCATTGGCTTCCGGTGCATTTTAGGGTTTGTTTTAAGATTCTTTTATTTGTTTATAAATCCTTAAATGGGCTAGCACCATCTTATCTTGTGGAACTTTTGCGTCCGTATAATCCGTTGCGGTGCCTCAGATCAGCTGATCAGCTTCTTCTGGAGGCACCACGGGCCAGGCGGAAAACTAGGGGGGATAGAGCCTTCGCTGTGGTGGGTCCAAACCTGTGGAACGCTTTGCCACTTTATATTAGGCAGGACCCTTGCTGTCTACTTTTAAGTCTTATTTGAAGAGCTACTTGTATTCATTGGCGTTTGGCCAGGAATGAGACTGTCTGTAGTGTTAGAGTGTTTATTTTATTGTTTATAGTTTTTTATGTGTTGATTTTAAATTTGTATGATATGTTAAGCGCTTTGGTCAGCTGTGCTGTGGTAAAGCGCTATATAAATAAAGTTGAGTTGAGTATGTACTTGACAATTTGGAGCACATAAACCACTGCAGTATGATTACTGGAAGAGGAAGAATTTAAAAGACTTCTGAAATACCTGAGCGAGCAGGTTTCGTTCAGAAAAATACTGTAATCTCTCATATACTAACACCACCAGTGGCTGAAAATTGTTATACCTCACAGACAAATAATAATCACTGTTTTTTTTCCTTGGATTCAGCATTCCACTGAATAACCCAAATTTGTAATGTACATCGCCTGCTGACATGTTTCAGGCTGGATTTGTCCCTCGGAAGCCAGAGAATCAAGAAAAGCAGGCCATGTGACAAAGATGTGATCTATCTACACCCTCTGCAGCTGAATGTGTGTTGCGTCCGTCTCACAGTAACAGAGAGGAGACTCATCTTTAGAGAGAAACTTGTTTTTGTTATCTTGTAGTCAGTTCCTCTCTTGGTAATTGCTCCCAGGTGGCAGATATCTGATCATCAACAACCTTAGATATCACGGAATCACTTAAGGATTTTCACACTATAACATTTACTGTTGTGAATACTCAGTGCAAAAAACATGGAATACACATCTTTTAGCTTAGTGACACAAAACAGATGGCAGAACATATGATAATGATTTCAAAGTGGTTTGAAGAACTTATGTCATCACTTGCTGCAGTAAAATTTTATTACATAAGCTGAGGGGTTATATAATTGAGTGGCTAGAAGAAGACTAACAAAGAATGTGGGGGTGGATAAGGAATGCACTTGTGCCCTCGACTAGGATGCAGAGGCAGCAGACTATTCTGCTTTAGAAAAATATAAGCTATGACAAATTTAATTCATTTTCACATCCATCCATCGACCAGAACCAGTGAACCAAAATTTCATGCCCTGTTAAAGCACGTGTCAACAGTGCTTTTGTTAATGGTGTGATAATTGTGATGAGCAATGAGACTACCCTACTGCTCCAACATGTTCACTAACTGGTGCCGTGTAAGTCACATGAGAAACAAAGGATTAGGGAAAAGAAATGAAAGCATATATAACTAGAATTATCCGTCACGTTCATGGGAATGTGACATCAATGGGGCCACTGACCACCAAAATCTAATCAGTTCATCCTTATGTCCACATGTACATTTGTGCCAAATTTGAAGAAACCCCCTCAAGGTGTTCCTGATCCTGACATCGCACATTCATGAGAACGGGACAGACGGGCAACCTAAAAATATAATGCCTCCGGCCATGGCTGTCACTGGCATGGAAGCATATGGTCATACAGTAACAGTCCTATCTTATCGCCCCAGTATGAGCAATTTTCAACCAAACTACATAATCAGATACAAAAGTGACTAAAGATGCTTCATATTCTGGATTTAGCCTTTCTGAACAAACTCCAAAGCAAAGATGACTATGTGGATGATGCACATATCATCAGAGCTCTTATATACTGAGTCCTGTGGTCAGCACCTCACCACACCCTGAGTGTGACCAGGCAAGCACCACAGTTCCAAAGACTGCACACATCTGTTTGCATACATGAGTGACTACACCCTGTACCTTTCAATGTCCCCGCTGACCCAGTGAGGTTGTCCTCTGCGATCACACCATTCAAAAAGATACCAGCAGTCTCAGAAGCAATTTTGTGAGTGTGATGGAAAATGTTCCATTATCATTAACCCTCTAACATCATTTTACTGACATGGCTGTTTTCTAAAAAGCTGGTGGAGTGGCACTGACACAGTTCGACACCAATTAAAACAACAACAAACCTGCCCATAGTTGCACTGATCAGTACAAAGTAGTCACCTTGTACGCTATTATTTTCTGATTAACTAACAAGCTTTAAAATATCAAAAATACTACAAACATTACCATAACAAGCAGATTTCTCATGTTGCTCATTTGGACAACAACCAGTCCACGCAAAGAAATTCCATTTACAGTGATGCTGAGTAGAGTGCAGCCAAACTTTAAATCCATCCACTTACAACCAGCAAATGGCTTTCTTGCTTCTTTTAAAGCTGCACAAAGTTTTTTGTGATAAACCTTTTAAATGTGCCTAAACTGATTCTTTTAAGATACTTGGGGGCACCAAACAACCAAAACAATGTCCTGACAGATGCTAAAAAGCTTTGGTAAAGTAAAAATTAAAACAATGATCAAAATATTGTAGCTGCTGCCTAAATTCCTCCCACTCCAGCTCTACACAGAAGCTCCAGCTGCATCGCAGGCTGATAGAAAAGGACACAGAAATCAAGTGAACAGTCATGTCCTGAGCCCTGCTGTTAGCCTTCTGGAGGTTTACATCAGAAGAGTGTCTCTCTGATCACTGGGAAGGTGAGCCTGTAGCTTATCTAGTTACATACTGATAAGAGAAAGGCTTTTAAATACTGTATTATATAAATAACCTCTGCCATCTGTCTCTTATTTGGGAGAAAGAAAGAGTTAGAAGAGTTTAATTAACTACAGCTTATCTAAATCCTCCTTTCTGTAAAATCACCTGTAGTGAAAGAACTTTATTAGCACAGATGTGCAAACACACGCTTCCTTTTATATGTCCAGCTGCACTACTGTATCTCTGTGAGACTACAACAGACAAAATCCAGGACAGCATCCTCTGTGCTCACCTCAAATTTTATTTCTTAACACACAACCACTAGAATGTGTACATCTGATTTTGCTGCACTCTGCTGAGTAATACCACGGCTGCTCCCAAAAATAGCAGCTCCACTGTTATTAAACGCCTGCTTGTCCACTTGCAATTGGCTGATACTTTGGACAGCCCGGCAAACGTCATAACGATGATACAACATCCCTGCTCTGTCACCATGGCAACACTATTCTTATTTTTTGCAGACAGAAAGCCAAAGGACATGGTGACATCACAAAGTTTGTGTGTGTGTGTGTGTGTGTGTGGTTGGAGCATGATGCGCTAGCTGTGAATGATTTGCAGCAGATGTGACTTTTAGGTCAGGAATATTTTTAGACTGAAGCTGAAAACAGCCAATATGCTGTTCTGATGTTCAACGTTTCAACACTATACTACGTACACACTAACAAAAAGGTTAGTGTTTCAAGATTTTACTCCTGTTTAAAGGCATGAAAGGGTGTTAATAAGGTCAGACTATATTATCTTTGGTGAGTCTGCAGCTCCTTAGTGCAGGGTGAAGGTCACTGGCCTGGTGTAACGAAAGTAAGCATACAATCAAGATAATGTTTTATGAGAGTTAATTACTTCAATGGCATATATACTTTCCACCCACATCCAGATAATTACTATAAGTGTTTACATCACATACTGTGTTTTGGAAATGCTATACCCCTAACACGCTACCTTTGTATCTCCTCACAACAAATGCCTCAGCGGCCTCTGTAGGTCATTTCAGAGGCAATTATTGTGGCAAAAGCAATTATTGTGGTGATATTCACAGTAGACATGCAGAGTTTACAAGGCGGATGAGGAAGCCTGGAAACACAGCCCTCTGTATGTTTGGAGCTGGTGAGCGGTTCCTGCTCAGGGCTGTAGGACCTGGTCAATCAGAGCCGCTACTGGCTGATCAGGAGCCCGAAACCACAGCTCACATGAGGGAACTTAAATCCACTGTGGATAATCACAGTAATTCCAATGTGAGTGGACAGACACCTACTGTACAGAAAAGAGGCAGCTCTGAGGATAGGTTTGTATAAATGCCCTATTCATAAACGCCAGAAGCAGCTCAGACAACTAGCGAGCTACTTCTGAAACCCTACTCTGAGGCTAAAAGCATCATGAACAGAGGTGACATTAAAAAGCATTCCAGAGGCCAGGGGAATAAGAGACAACGGAAATGGCCCTTTGGCGTGAACCCAGTTTAGTGAATGTAAATTCTCTTCATCCACTCCACTAAATCAAAGCTGTAGGACTGCTGGCCTCAGAGTTAGAGGGTGGTGTTTGAGCAGAGGAAATGGGTCAAAGCAAGGTGAAGAGGCTCGAAGAAATGAACAATAACTGATTCTGGTTCTGCTTTGGCCGACAGCAGAGAGATTAAACTGCCAAGCACGTGTTCGGTTTTCACACCAGGCATAATCTAAGGAATCCAGTCTAACCAATGCTTGACATGCTTTCATTTAATGCCAGACATCAGCTGATACTCATTAAAGGGTGACGACAGTCAGGCTGTACTCAAATGACTACAGGCTTCATTCTAGTCGTAAAGAAACAAGACCACAAGTTAACAAACATGAAACTATGCAAAATTTAAAATTATATAACAGAAACCTGATTTGAAAATATTCTGAGAGAAACTGAAATGCTTTAAACTTTTGCTTACAAGAAATCTCCACAGGCTATCTTTAATTGCTATTTTACCAGATATGTTTCAGCAGATGTGTCTGAATGAACTATTTGGAGTGGTAGAAGTAAGTGTGTGTTGAATTTTGGGATGTATTGGTTGCTAGGGCCAGTGTTTTTCCCTGTTTGAACCGAGGAGGAGCCAACATTAAATCTAATCCTCTAACATCTTAAAGGACTACGGTGCACACACACTTGTTGCTGCAGCCGCTCCTTAATAATCTAAACCTTGTGGAGGCTGGAGATGGCGTGAGCACATAAGAAGCTCAGAGCAGCCTAACGAAATCCCAGAGGAAAACTTATTCCCAATTATATAAATGAGCACTCAGGAGCATTCCAAACATCTCTGTACCATCTGCTATGAGGTTTCACTACACTTCATAATAGTTTGGTCAAAGAAAATTACAGTATTTTTAATCTGTGTAAGTGTGCTCATTAATAGGGTTTGAGTAATGTGTTGACAGCAACAGTGATATACAGTTTTTCTAGTATTGATATCTTTAAATGATATTAGAAGTGGGCAATATTGACAAAAAATTGATCTTATACTCCTTATACAGTATCACGTTTCCTCTTGGTGACTGGCACAAAATCGGAAGAATACAAACATCCATTTTTGAACATCTTAAATCTCAGATCTTGGCATATTTACTGTATACGATCTCACAGAAAATACTGCCATACCACCAGAATAACATAATTAAAATCCCAGAATAAATAAGTATTTAAAAAAAAAACACAATGTATCCCAATGGGAGCTCAAAATGTGAAATCAAAATTAATGTGGATGGCTAATGTCTAATTACAGTATTGGCAATACTGTGATAACACGCTGCCCAACACCAAAGCAAAAACAAAGCACCACTACTCCCTCGACTCCGCTTGTGTCTCTGGGGCAGTAAATTAAACGTCACACTACCAGCAGAAAGATCCCTAGGTCCACCTGGCAAAGCAGAATGCCATGTGCTGATTGGCTGGAAAGGCAGTGTGAGAGCGAGCAACAGAACAATCTGTCCTGACCTGAATCTCTGTTTGGCAGGTTGTCATAAACAATCCCTAAGATACATGCAAGAACACGTTTAATGATTAATCAAATAGAACATTGTGGGTGAGGGGTTAGAATGTTAGCACTCTGTAATAATTCTTTAGTATATTACTTGTGTGGCATAGAAGATAATTATTTATCTAGAGATATTGCTTAGGACTGGTTGTAAGATGATGTCATGGGGTAGGACTAGATAAGTCTAACTTCTTCCTACTCCGTTCAAGCATGTACTAGGTATAAGTAAATTGATATTGGATTATTATTGTTGGATATGTGTGAAATTACGTGTTGACATATCAACTGTTTTACATGTTTGAATGAATAAATCAAATCAAATCAAAAAATCAAATCAAATCCCTCTCTCTCACACACTTCTCTTCCTCTGTTGACTATCTCCCATGGGAGCAAAAGTGACACGTTCTCCTGCACACATGCTCACTTTCTTTCATTCCTCATGGGGACTTTATCTTGACTTACAAATCATTTTCTGGTGATTTATCCTAACCTCAACTATAACCGCTACTTGCCTAACCCTAGCTTTAGCCTAAACCTAACCAGCATCTGTGCCAGCAAGGTGAATGTATAAACAGGTTTTGGTCCCAGCAGTGTGAATAATCCAGGCGCACATGTGCGCACACAGCATTTGACTGAGAAGGAGAGAGGTAGTTTTTATTTCTCCCCTCTGAGGCACTGAGGGATGAGGTCTGTCATCAGTTTGTTGAGCCAGTGTCCGGTGACATGAAGCCACAGCTAATTTCTCTCTCACACGCTCACATAAAAACAAGAAAACAGTGAGATCGCCTTACTGTGACGAAAGAACAGCCCATGATTGGATGAACTTAACAAAATGTAACCTGTAGAAATATCCTTATCAGTAGTGATTGACATTACATTTCTCAGCAGAATGACTTGGTGCTAATGACATATTACAAACAGGATAGTAATTAAGTTAATTTCACCTGTTTCTAAAAATACAAAGTTTCTTCCTCTTATGGTTTCATCAGAGGTTTGTCACCAATATGCACAAAACATTAAACTAGTTTTACTAAAATCATTTTTAAATGCAATTTTGTTTACATCTCACATCATATCATGATATATACTCAAATTAGAAAAATATTTAAATAAATATTGGGACTTTAATTTCAGTCTTACAGTTGAACCCAAGCTCCAACTTGGGTTGAGACAACTGATACAAAGCAGAGAAAAGCAGCAAATACACAAACTGAAAAAGCTGGAAGCAGATAAATATTATGTGATCAAAGACTTTAAATGGTTAATTATCAGAATTGTTTGAGATTAATTTTCTATTTTTCAACTAACCAATCAGTTGTTTCAGACTGAGTTTTGATCATTTTGAGCTTCAGTAGAGCACAGGCTACAAAGCTGCATGAGAAAGCACCCTTTAACCTTACAACTGTCAGTGCTGGTGTGCACAACAAGTGCTTGATCACAGATAACTTCACACACCACAGGTTTATGCTAATGGTTTCACGTGCACACTTCTCTCATGTACAAATGCACATAAGCACATACGAATAGAGAGAGAGAACATGTTTTCTCGCCATGGTGGTGTGTAGAAAAGGAGAGAAAGAGGACAGATGATGAGCAAGAGCTGATGGCAGAGGAGAGGAGGAGCAGGTGGACGGTGACAGCAAATCAGAAAGCGTGCCAAGCTGCAAAGCATGGCCAGCACTGAAGTGTATGCTAATGATTTCTCATTACATAACAGAAGCTGGCACACAGCAGCTCCACAAACTAAGAGTCATTCATCACCTTCTTCTCATATCAGGACAAACACAGCTGACGAAAAAAGGATTTTAAGCCAGATTTTACCCAATAATGCATGTATAACTTAACCTATACAAGGTGTAGCCAGTAACGACAACTTTAGGGCAAAGAACACTTATAAGAATTTAACTGACCATCTCACATTATCAGTAAGGTACATGCTAACCACTGGACCCCATTTCCAACCCATCACCAGTTTAGGCTAATATACTGGGAGTTGTAATGTATTTATCTAAATAGTTTTAAAGTTTTATACATAGTTTATAAACAGTAAAAGTTTTATAAATAGTTTTAAAGAGGCTCTTTCACAATACAGTGCAGGAAAATCATTCCACAAGGACTTTAAAAGTCAATGCTCAGACCTACATTTATCAGTATATGTAAACAGCCAGAGGCAACACACATCCTGGATATCTCAGTGCATAAAGACAGACCGTGTCAGAATGAGCTATTTGTTTATTCATTTCCATTACAGACCTACAGTAGGATCCATAACAGCAATGTAGTAAGACCAGCTGTGATGTATGTGGAGGATTAATGGGGGGTTATATAACCAGTGACCTGTGACGCACCAATTTCTGTGTAACTGATTAAAACTGTTGCTTGGCATATTAAGGTTATACACCTCAGTTCATATGCCTTTCATGAATCGTCTTTGGGTTTTACAGCTTTGCCAATAAAAACAATATTACGATATAAACACTAAATTGCCTGATTTTTTTTTTTAATGGAGCTTGGTGCTCCCTTCGAAGCAGATAACGGAACACAGCAGGTCTCTGGTCTCTTTCTTACCTTGGCTTGGTTTATGAGAAGCCCCACGAAAGTTGACACCAGTACCGACCCAGACATGCTGCCTTTTCTCCGCATCTCCTGCTTCAAAAACGGGAAAGCGGTGGGAGGCCGCTCTTCTGGTACGGTCACCGTGTAGGACTGTCGCATGCTCGGCATGCTGACGGAGGATGAAGCGGACTACCGGTGTTCAGACGACAGCGAACGCTTTCCGAGCGCCCGTGCTCTGTGCTCACTGAGCCGGGCTCCGATTACGGGAAGGCGAATTATAGCCTACGTTTCACCCCGTGTGTGATAAGATCTCTGTTATCATTCATCCATTCATATAACGGTACCAGCCTTTCAAACGATCCTACCTACAGTATAATAGTCCTATGGAGAGCAATACAGCACAGGAAAGAATAAAAAGACCTCCCATAGACAAAAGAGCAACTGACTGCTGCGTCATTCTAGGCAGGTATAAGCAGCACGGCAGTACACTCAACAAGGTAGGTGTGTAAATTGAAATAAACTTAAATTGTGTTCCCATTCCGTTTTACAGGACTGGAGGTCCGCCTCTTTGGGCTCGGATTAAAGCCGGCCTACAATAAGCGTCAGTGACCCCCTCCAGTGACCGCCTCCAGCCGTGCAGACCACGTCAGAGCCCATCCTCCTCCTCGCTCCTGACACAATGTGAAGGACTCAAATACTGTGGGTTTCTATAGGCCACAGTATAAATATGTGTCAGTATGAAGACACACTACAATAGGAATGCGACAGAAGGGCTGTTCCTTTACTACAATCTGACCCACGGTTCTAAAATTAGGATGGCAGGCCTAAACTTAGGATCCTGTGATTCAGCAGTAACACAAAGAATAGAGGTTAGGTAGCAGTTTTACTTTGCCACAGTAAGGCAATAAAGAAAGTATGAAGCAACCCCTAGATTTCACCAAAATTTCCTCATATAGACACTTTGTCACAAAACCAATCATACAAATCATCCTTGTAGAGTTTCTGGGAAAACATCACTTAGGGTTCATTATAGTAGCTTAATAATTATTCTTAGATTCAAGTTCCCAATAGATTTAAAGCCATTTTGCAATCAATAAAAAAATATTGTTGTTATCTTGGCACCGGAGTCAAGAAAAATTTGTAGAGGTGAATTGTAAATAAACCTCAGACATCAGTTTCATACACAATAATTCAACTGGATTTATTTGTATAGCACCGATTCACAACAACAATCATCTCAAGGTTCTATTATAAGGAAAACCCAACAAATCCTCCTTGAGCAAGCACTTGGTGACAGTGGGGAGGAAAATGTGCGAAAATTGTATTAAATATGAGCATTGACTTTTTGTCATAATCCTAAACCTTCATTAATGTTTTAGACCACAGCTTTGAACACAACACTGACATGCTAAAATGCAGAGCAACTTTAGCATTCTCTGGAGTAAGGTTTATGGCCATCTGATGAATGTAATATTCACTCTCCTTTTAGCTCTGTTTTGGTCTCTATGAACACCTGACAGATGATCCACCATGTTTACCAACTAGTTGACAGTTTGCTGAAGGATGCTCAAATACTCTGTGAAAACCGTGGCAACCTCAGAATCAGGCATTGTAAATATAATATGGGCCTGAAGCACTTAACATGTTGTTACATCCATTTTTAGTGAATAGGGCAAATGCAAGCTATATTCTGACATTCTGGACAACCCAAATAGAACAACTGTTTGTCATAAGACAGAACTTGTGAGGAAATATTAGGTGTAGGAGGCTATAATACTGCTGGTGGTTACAGCAAACTAGTGACTACAAGAGCACCTAATGACTGCTGAAGGCCGTGACAGCAAATGGTCAGAACCAATAGACATTTTAAGAGAAGCTTCAAAACCAATGCAGCTTAACCATCAATTCACTTCAAGACTATTATTCCTAAACTAATTAATAACACAGACAACGCAATGTGCTGTACCTTTGTGTGCCAGTCTTGCCATCTTTTCAAGAAAGTATGGTTCTTTGTTTGCTTTCCTAAAAACAATCAGCTACTGACTGTGTCAGTACAACGTGCATTTCCTAACTTTTCCTTTGAGAAAGAACTGTAATTCACACTGTGCTCACCGAGTTTAGCTGAACTGATATCCAGAGTGAGAGACCTGAAATATGTGCCCTGCAACAATCTCATGTCCCTGACGCACAACTGAAAAGCACATTCCATCACCAGGCTCAACATGCATGTGAGCGTGTGCACTGTTTGCCTTAATTTCTGAATTCTTGAGGTGGAAGACTACAACATGAGAAGGGGCCAAAGAGTCAGTCTTTGTATTCTGATATCTGATGCAAAGAACTAAGTGGTTTGGTATAAAGATAGGACAAAAGCAGTGAGCAATGATATCTAGGAGAAGTCAGAGTTAAATTTGGCACATTAGGCTGACATATCTTCACTCAAGTGTTTAAATTTAACTTATCCTAAAATATTGCTTTGCTAGGGAGCAACTAAAACAATTCATCGCTGTTTGTGGCAGATCTAGGCCTTTATTCTACATCCCTACAAGATACAAAGGATTCTTTAGCTTGCTAACAACTGATGCTAAATGCTGACATTCCTAGAACAGAACAAAGTCTTCTGGTACAGTCATTTCAGAAGTGAAAATCAGATAAAATTAAAATTTGGCTGCAAAATCATGATGCTAGCAAAACGACCAAGCTCTTAGCTAACTGACCTTTTGAGCCAGATTAGTCAGCTAATTTTTTTGTCTACACTGTAGGTTCACAAGCTTCCATCAGGGCCAAAATCTAAGCAAAGTTCTTGTTTCATTTATTTGTAGTCTTCATCAGCCCACAGTTATATTCATGACCTTTGGGTAATGATGACCATATTAGCCAAGGTATGAATCCTGAGCTGTTGGCTAAACTCATGCTGCACACTGGAAGTAGGTGAAGAGTTCGGCAATTTAGGAGAAATCCAGGGTTCAGCCAGTGTATCAGAAAAATTGCTTCAGGTGGTTTAGGTGCCTGATAATATGGTCAGTGAGGGCAGATTTTCTAACTGGCCTAGAAGTGTTTGGGGACATCCAAAAGAAATAGGGGAAGTCAGAAAGAACATCTGGGCTGTTGCACACCATGCTACTATTACCCTGACCTGGATAAGCAGCTAGAAAGTAGATCAACACATGAGTAGAAACTGTATAATAGACTTCCAGGTACTAGCATCGCTCTGTGGATAAAATGAAATATGAATCATTTTTCAACTATAAACAATAACAGGAATTAGAGGTCCTGTCACTGACCATAATACTGGTACACCCATAGGATGGCACAGTACTGTGCCAACAGACACCAGCTTTAGTATAATGTTAAACTAGCTGTCCTGATAGACACGACACACACTGCCCCTCAAGTCCTACAGTCACACAGACCCATAATAACAGGTTACAAAACTGAGCTACTAAAGTATTCGCCCTTATTTGCCAAACAACAAAGCAACGCTCCAACTCATACCAGACTGTTTTTTATCAAACCATAAACTGTCTGACCACAGCAGTGAATTGAATGTCAGACAGTCTAAAAATATTGTTGACTCAACAAAGGTCTAGACTCAAAGCATGAGCAGAATAATTTAGGGTAAAATCAAGAAAGTCTGCACTCAGATGTGTCACCCTGACCTTTTACTGTTTGTTTGCAGGGGCCAAAGGACAAACATGTGAGTGAAAGGTTGTCCTTAAATTTGAGGGTGAGGTAACAATGGTCCTTGTTTGGACAGTAATAAACAGAATTGGAGACAGCTGGAAGCCAACAGTGACCGTCAGCAGTCATATGACCAGACAGGTTATAAACATGCCAGCTGATTATCTAAACCATTTCTCTGGAAGTAAGCCTCAATGCACAGAAACAGCATGAGTGCACACAACCGTAGCAAGTATATTAAGTGAAACGTTGGGTACAAATTGTCCAGTACTGTCTGACTACCACCTGTATCATTTCAGGTTTCCTACACATTTGGCAATTCTGAGATCTCAGCATTTATTCTGTTAAGTACAATGTTATCACAACTGATAAGAAAGCTGGCTAGAGCAAAGAAAAAGTTTTTGCAATAAACCAGTTTTCTTTTACACTTAGTTGGCAAGGTTTAGACTTACACTGCACAAGACTCAGTTTATGACAATACTAATAACCTGAAGTGTTACAGTAGCTAGCCAACTCACAAACTAATGCAGCAAGTGTGAAATGCTATGAGGCGACAGGGCTAACTAGTGCCCCTCTGTAAACAAGGTCTAGCCAATTATTTTAAGTTAAGTTATTATGAATTCAAAAGCCGAGCACTATCATATGCTTTTTACATTTCATAGACTGAATATTATGCATGAAAAACAAGGATGATGATAGTCATGTTACCCAGCTTGACTTACTCATAGACATGGCACAAGAATAGGACCATGTGGCACCACCGGCTGCTATTTTTGTGTTGTTTTTATATTGCAGGCTTCTGAGAAACTATCAGGATTGTGTGTATTTTGCTTTGCCAGTGATATTTCTAGAAGCCCTGTCATAACACTGGGATAGGTGAGTTTCAACATTCATATTACAACAAGAGGAGAGAGTGTTAATTTAGGTTTTATGTTAAGTCTATTGTACTCACTGAATAATGGAAAACTGGAACAACTAGAACAGCCAAAAAAAAAAGAATGAGGTTAAATTCTACTTGTTGAGACTGGAAAGAAGTGGGGACTGAATACCGGTGCATATTTGGCTGAAATTGTATATTGTGTTCACTGAACTTTGGAACAAGAATAAGACAGTGGTTACTTCACTGGAGAAAAAAAACTGGGAGGCAAGAAGTGTTGGGGTGGAGGGAACTTTAGTTGTTTATACACCATACATGACCACTGACTCGAGAGCTGGAGTAGAGGTTTGAGCGCACATGGTTGAGCAATAAAACTGTCTGTAGTAGAGACACTGCTTTGTTATGGAGTAATTTGACTGTGCAGATCACGTAATTTTAGCTGTAAACGTTTTGAAACCATTCTATTCTTTCAACATCTGTGACATAATATTGTACAGTATAAAAATTGGGCCACATGAAAATTTTGATATCTTCAAGTGCTGGATTCATTACAATTTACATAATTATTGTTGCTGATATCGACACTAAACATTTTGTATTATTGGAAAAATGACTAGGCTTTTGTTCTGGCACTGGACAGACAAAATGATTAATAATTGAATCAAGAAAATAATCTGTAGATTAACTGATGAATGACAATGAGCATAACTGATAGCTGCAACCATATATGGTGAAATAGCTTGATGTTCAAAGCTGGATGGAAGGTGGACTCTTATAATGAATAGCCTATCAAAGGAAGAAAGATTCCCTCCTCTTGTAACTTTCATCAGCTTCAATGTCAAAAAAACAAAAACAAAAAACAAAGCACCACTCCACTAATATGAGATGAGGAGAGTTCACTGTGGTGGTCATCAGTCATGAGAACATTCATGACATTTTCTCCCCAGAATGTGTCAGACAGTACACACCAGGCACACCCCACATGGGACAGCACACACCCACTCCATATCATTGTCATATGCTAGGGAATTCTAATTGGTGACACAACACCACACATATATGTACATGCACATCCCTGACATGACTCATTCTATTGCTCACATATATTTGCATGCACATCTCTGACATGAGTCATTTTATTGCTTGCTTGCTGATATCTTAGGAACTGTTAACTCAGAGCTTTATCAACAGTTTATGTACTGGGCATCAGAGATGAGTTGTTTTTACTTAAAGAATAGTCTGACAGAGATTCATATTGCTCTCATGTTTTGTGCAAAATGTGTAGCTGGTGCTAGCTTAGCATAAATACCAGAAATAGAGGGGAAACAGCCCGCGTGGCTGGCTATGTGAGACTAAATTTTTTTTTTTAAACTAGATATAACACTTCCATGGCCTTACATATAAAAAGGTGCTTTCTTAAGTAGGAAAATGCACCTTTCCCAGTTTGGCACACTCACAGGTTCTGCTGATACAGCCTTACTGTTTCAGGTATGACCAGTAGCTTATGGTGGCTAAAGTTAGCTGATGTTAGCAAAGCTTAGAGAGAGATGCCTGTAGAAAGGACTGAGTCAGCTAACTGACTTGAATACTACAATATACTAAATGTACCATTATTCCATTAGTGTCACTTGTGGTTACTGTTTCACTAAATGTGCAGTCTTGTTTCAGCTGACAAATCAATTGACTTCTGCACATTTATATTACGTAAACACATCAAAATATCAAACTCAGGATTCTCAGTGAGGCTGGTTTCAGCAGACTGAGTTTAGAGCTTTATCAGTGCACATGACCAGCCCTGAGGGAGGCGGGTGATTAAATATGCCTGGAGTAACAGAGGCTCAAGGTTAATTAACAGTACAAAAGGTCCAGCTGGTGACATCCAGCCACGTTCTTCTCAGTCTGCACATGATGGATAGGTGTTGATTGTTTTAATAGGTTAAATGAGAAGGAAAATCCAGTTCAAACTTGCCAGTTCTGCTTTACTGTGTCTACGTCCCCCACTAATCAGTAGTTTGTGTTACTGACCATTTATTCATCAAATGTTTAATTAACCATGTTTTATTGAGTAAACTGACTGGTACTGATACATTAGCTCATCATAGATGATAAAGTGGCATATCAGCATAAGCTACATGCTCACATTATGGTTTTTAGCAAAAATTTAATAAATTTTATCCAGTGCTTAAGTTTAAGTACAAAGAGCTCTTCATTATTCAGTAGTCTCATGATGTTAAAGACATTTGTCTCAGGTAAGCCCAGAATTCTGTAATGTGCAGGACATATAAGGGTGTCTTAATCTATTTCTGAATGAATGACTTGTGCAAGCTAAACAGGAAGACCTGACTGATTAGAAAATACCTCATGATGACAGCAGGCAATTTAATAAGCTAAACTACATGCTTTACTTAAAGTGGTACTCATAAAGCATTAGACACACATGAAAAGCTCATCTAAGAGGGCATGGTAATTACTTCATCATCAACTGCACTCGTGTAAGTGGTTATTGGGACTAATCTGGAGGTGAAGTGGGTCAGCTGTGCTTTCTGACCAGCACAGAAAAAGCTCAGTTCATTAAAACTGGGCTTAGAGATGAGGCCTGCAGAACCAGCAGGCCCTACAGACAGGTGGACACTAGCTAATTTGCTGGGTTAGAAGAGGTAAAGTATCCATGCTAAGAGCTAGTTTGCATATGATAGGACTGATCCTAATCTTGGTTGGAGAAAATAAGACAACTTCTGTCTGTCAGTTTTACTGAATAGATCAAACAGTCTGCTAAAGAACATTAATAGCAAGAGAGTTTAACACATTTGGTATATTGTACAACAGGAGCTAAAGTGCACTACAATTAACTTGAGCAATAGTGCCCCCATTTGGAAAAAACTGTACTCTCAGAAGCCACAAAGCACTGCAAGGCTTTACCATGTATGTGAAATGAAAGTAGTTAACATAGCGTGTCTTTGTGGTGACAGCTGCAACTTTGATTCTATTCAGCCCCTGGATACTGATCCCCTCTGAGCTGTACATCCCCAGTAAAAGCAGAAATCTTCAAGCCAGCATTTGCAAGAACAGAGGACGTTGTCTTACCATAGAGGCCCTGATGGGGGAATCGGACAGACCGTTACTGCTGGGTTCCCATGCCGAAGAGCTGAACACTCTGCTGCTGCTGAAGGCCTCCTGGGTGGAGCTCCGTGAGAGGGCCTCCTGAGTAGAGCTCCGTGACAGGCCTGAGTAGCCCAGGCGTGAGCTCGTGCCATATGAGTCAGCCACATCACTGGTTCGACTGTGGTAGCTCCGCAGGGCACGCGTAGATGGGGTGGACGAGGAAGAGGAGGAAGCATCATTGAGACCTAGAGAGGCCAGGTCCCTGCTCAAGTCACTCTGGGATATGGATTTGCGTCGGTTGAGCGAGATGCTGGAGGCCACCGGTGAAGAAGAGAGGTAGCTGGACTGGGCCAAGGATGAAGAGTAAGAGCTGTAGCCGGTATAGGCCGACCCCCCACTTAGCCCTGACCCTCCATAGCTCTTGATGGGGGTTCTGCTGAGGCTCTTGCTTCGGCGGCTGTTGCTGCTGCTGCTTCCGAGGATGTCGGTGCGTGGGATGGTTTGACTTCGGTCGCAATCAGGTTCTGATGAGGTGCTGTAGTTGCGGCTGCGAGCAACGGAACTGCTTAAATAGCTGGAGGAGGAATAACCTGAGGAAGAGGTGGGAGACTTGTAGGATGACAGCCTGTCCCGCTCGCTGTAGGAGCTAAGGCCTGGGGTCAGGGAGGAGCCGTAGGTGCTGTAGTGGCTGGGGGGGGGGTTTCTCAGCCACAGGGAGGGAGAGCCTCTGGAAGACTGCATCGACTGTAGCCACAGCAAAGAGACATGAGTGTTAGTTCATCAGCAACTATCAAATCAATACCTACACTACTGCAACAATGTGGGAAGCAGTTAGGACATCATTATCCTCACTTCACCAAGCATTTGTTTGATTTTTAAAACACAAAATGATCCAAGACTGCGGATCATGACTATGAAACCTCTACATTTCTGGCATAATATCACTGAAACTTAAAATGCAAAGTGAGACGCATGGCCAAACACACAACACTATCTTACACTGTTACTCAGTGTCATGTTATTTAATGCACTGTGTCAGCATTTTGTCATGTTTTAACCCAATTACTACAAATCACATTTTGTTTACAACACTCCAACCCATTTTAAAAGCATGCCATGATGTTGATATTTTTAGTATATTTTTCCAGATTTTAAGGAAACCACTCATTCTGTGCAATACATTAATACAAATGACTTGCAACTTCCATTATTTTGGTAATCCATCAGTATGTCTCCTTTAACTGTCAACACAGTTTGTGTTATTTAATTTTGGTACATAATGCAGTATAGCATGCTTGCTGATACTTGATACTGATGCTTGCTGGTGTGATCCAATGCTCAGTAAAGGCACAGCATCTTCAACTGGACTTTAAATCACATTCACTTGGAAATTCTTCTGAACCCCCTTTTTCCCACCAACTTTAATCCGATCCTGAAATCACAGAGGTGAACAGAAATATTGAATAGAATCCCTCTGGGTTATTTTTACATCTCATATCCCCTCTCTTGCATCACCCTCCTTCGTCTCCCACGGCTATAATGGGAGAGTCCAGCAGGGTGTTGGAGGTAAAACCAGGCGGGCAGCACAATGTGTTCCTGTAGCTGAGGCAGAGAGAGGCTCCTGTTCACATGCACAGCAGCATCTGAATAAATAAAAGTATCTGGTATTGCTGATCT